TGCTTGAATGCATGGCCACGTGCCACTCACTCACGTTGATCGAAAATGTGCTCTCCGGCGATCCGTTGGACTTGCAAATGTTTCAGTCCACCAAATGGGTACGTTTCCTTCAAGTCACGTGTTCTCATCTCAACAATGCCAAATCGGATATGTTTGATTTCTGGATGTTAAAATTCATGACTTTTCACATACTTCAATGAAATCTGATTATGTGTTTATTACTGAAAGGTGCATAATGTTTACAACATTCTTTGGTCTTATTACGCTTTGTTCAGTGTTATACGTATAGTGTTGTCGATTTACGAAGCGTGTTTTATTCTTTGACTGGTTGACTGACTGACTGACTAACTGCCTTCCTGACTGACAGACTGACTGACTGACTGACTGACTGACTCGCCCACTCAGCAACCGCTTACTAATTGCTAATTAGTAAATAACTGACGAAACAGCAGTCGATTGTGCTGTCAACGGTTGTTCTTGGTATGATATAGCCAGCATTCATGGTATTTAGCCTTGTGAGTTTACCTACTGAGTGCTACAAAGATACCCCAGCAACCAGCAAGTTTTACCCAGTCATTACATCACATGCTGAGAGCGGACGGGCGCGGTTAACTAGTACACTGTCTCGCCTCTACATTTCGGGTTACAGTAGTACATCATGATCATATAAACTGAATTATTATGAACCTCAGTGCCGTTACTTAGACACTCTCCATAACTGTCTTTCGTTCTGCGCAATTACGTACCATATCCCATCGGTACTTATGGAGAGCAAGATTTTTAGTGTATTTCAATTTCTTTTCATGGTTAGTTTGTTTTCGAAATATTTCATAGTAGGGTTTAAAGGTTAGTGCTTAGACAAGCGAGGTGTGATGCTCGAAACAACGTTACAAAGATATGTCATTTTAAATCTGGTATACATAGACGATGCGAAATGGCGATCTGATCATCTACCCGGTGGTCAAATGCTCAGTATGCTTGTGTTCTACCTTTGAGGCCCCGGTTCTAATCCCCAGTCCAATTCTTGGGTTCGCACACTGCTGATGAGACCCAACCAAATCGAATCAGCTGTCCAGTGCTTTGTAGCTTTTCAGTTCACGCTTTCGTATCAAGATCGAAAGAAGACATATGTCGCGAGATGTTAACATTTCGTTTAATCTTCTCAATCGCTGACGTAAAACAAACAAGCACATTTATAGCACATTGAATTAATGTAATTATATTTCTTCATGTAATATTTCCCTTCCCATTCCTCTTGAATACTTAAGAGAACTAATATTTTTATGTACCGAAAACATTCGTTTTGAATT